TCGCTTTTTCTTCTTTCTTATCTTTTTCTTCTTCTGTATCTCATTTTTCGTTCATTATGTCTTTTTCCTCTTTCTTATCTCTTTTTTCCTTCTTCTTCTTTATCTCTTTTTCTTATTCCTTTTCTTCTCCCTTCTCTCTTTCCTTTTCTCATTTTTCTTTTTTTCCATCGGGCTTTTACTTAGTCATTCTTTCTTTTCCTTCCTCCTTGTCTCATTATTTCTCCTTTTTTCTTCTTTTTCTTCCCCTTTATTTCTTTATTTCTCCTTTTTCTTCATCTTTTCTTCTTCTTTCTTTTCTTCTCCCTTCTCTTCTTCCTTTTCTCTTTTTTTCCATCGGGCTTTTACTTAGTCATTCTTTCTTTTCCTTCCTCCTTGTCTCATTATTTCTCCTTTTTTCTTCTTTTTCTTCCCCTTTATTTCTTTATTTCTCCTTTTTCTTCATCTTTTCTTTTTCTATCTTTTCTTCTCCCTTCTCTTCTTCCTTTTCTCTTTTTTCTTTTTTTCCTTCGGAGTTTTACTTAGTCTTTCTATCTTTTCCTTCCTCCTTGTCTCATTATTTCTCCTTTCTTCTTCTTTTTCTTCCCCTTTATTTCTTTATTTCTCCTTTTTCTTCATTTTTTCTTCTTCTTTCTTTTCTTCTCTCTTCTCTTCTTCCTTTTCTCTTTTTTTCTTTTTTCCATCGGGCTTACTTAGTCTTCCTTTCTTTTCCTTCCTCCTTGTCTCATTATTTCTCCTTTTTTCTTCTTTTTCTTCCCCTTTATTTCTTTATTTCTCCTTTTTCTTCATCTTCTTCTTCCTTTTCTCTTTTTACATCAATATTCTTTTGACTTCATATTACTGATATTTAGAAAAAAGTTATCTTAGTGCGGTCTTTCAAGCAACAGACAGAAAGATTTCAGATGCTCGCTTTTCGCATAATTATTTCGGATATAATTATTTAAGACCCTTAAATTTTATCTGTGATCGAACACCGAATAGTAAGTCCGCCAAACGAATATTTTCTATCCCCCCCCGCTTTCATCTTCCTTCTTAAATTTAATATTACTTTTATTGTTTTGCCCGCTTTCACATATTATACTCAGATTTATATATGGAAATCCATTTTGCTTCCTTTTCTTCGCTCTCCTTTTTTTAATAACAAAAATATTAGTTTCTCCCCCCCACCTCATCGCCTTAATGAACAAATTGTCCACTCTCTGTCTATAATAATTGGGTTCCTTTATTTCCAATGTCTGTTCTTTTACGTCCAATCCTTCTTCTGCCATGAGCTATTTAATAAATTCCACATGCTAACATGGATATTGCCTTTATTGTTACAATATAACGTTTTTCACTGTCCGTCGCCGTTATTTCTTTTACTATTACCCCTTTTTCTTTTCTCTCCATCAAATGGACGATTAAACACCTTCTCTCTATTATCAAGATGGTTTCGTCTTCCCTTTTCTTAATCTGTTTCCCTTTACGTCTTCTCTGCGCCGTCTGACATTTCAGTTCTTCTCATTGTCATTTTAATACAATCTCTCTCTTTCACTTTTATTGTTTTTGATCTCTCATCAACATCTTCATTTTATTTCGCTTGGCATTCGAGTTCTTCCCGCTATTTTGTAACAATTTTCTTCTTTTTTTCTACTAAATAATTCTCAATATCTTTCTTATGTCTTGCGTCTTTTGGTAATTTATAATTCTCCTCGCCATTGTAGAAGAGGTTCTTCTTCATTCTTTTATCATTTATTAAATCTTTTTCTCCAGCATCTTTTTGCATCGTTCGATATTAGAACTCTCCTCACCATTTGGAAACACTTTCTCGTATTGTTTTCTAATTTAATACACAGTTTTTCTCCGGCGTATTCGTTTTGTGTTTTTTGACATTTCATTTATTCTCCATGCGATTTTAAAACATTTTCTCTCTTTGAGTTTCATTTTTCTCTCTCTCTCTCTCTCTCTCTCTCTCTCTCTCTCTCTCTCTCTCTCTCTCTCTCTCAAACGTCTTTTTGTATCGTTTGTATCGAATTTTTCCCGCTATTTTAAAATTATTTTTCCTTATTTCCCATTACATAACACATCTTTGTTTCCGTATCGTCTGCTATTTCAATTCTTCTTCCTTTCATTTCGAAATGAATATATTTTTTTCTACTTTCTCCTTCTCCCTGTTATTTTCTTTCCGTATCGTCCGACATTTTAATTCTTCCCGCCATTTTAAATCGGTTTCTGTCTCTCTCTTTTTATTTCGTTATTTATACTCTTTACTTATCCGATTTAGTCGACCCCTGTTTGTCTCTGTTCGTACACTTTTTAAACGTACTAATGCCACATGTTTCTTATGTTCTCTTTTGTATATTTCTATGGCAACTCTGTATACCTTTCTTTCTATTTTTTTCTTCTTCTGTTATTTTATGTCTATCTATCCCTAGCATAGTTATTTAACTACAATCTCTTTTTATTTCTGGCATCTTACTTTTATATTCTTCTTCTTTGCATTGGTTCTTTCTTTAATCTATCTTTAATATACCACTGACCATCGTCTCTTTTATTAATTTTTTTTCCCTCTCTTTCCTTTGGGCATCTTCTTACGTTTTAAAATTACTTCAAATTCCCTTCTCTTCTGCTACCCGGCTGAAGCCATTCGTCCCTGGCAAACAAAATTAAGCGCCCACTGTATTCAATAAGTAAATTCCAGTCATCACGCCTTTCTTTCTTTAAAACTCATTTCAGTCCACCTTTGGGTTTATCATTGACGATACAACTTCATTTTTCTTTCTTTTTTTAAAAACTTTCTCTTCATATTAAGTTCAATTCTAGTCTCACGACTGACCGTTTTTCCTTCTTCCCTGTATGTCCTTAGAAACGTTCGTATTGCTCTATGTCATTTCTGTTTCAATTTTGGACAAGAATCTCTATTAATAGCTTTTTTCCCCCTCCAGCCCTGTTCTCTTTCTGCTTATATTTCCCTCAACTCAACCTTATCTCTATGCTCGCTTCTCTCTTTCTCTCTGTAAGATTACACACAACCCCACTCTGTCTTCGTTCTTTTCTTTCCATTTCTTATCTTTATTACCTTCGTCCAACTCCTTTCTCACGTCTTCTCCTGCCTCTGTCCCTTGACCTTTTCCTGTATATCCTGGGGTTGTGGCCGATCTTTTAAGCTATCAAGATTGTTATTTCCCCCCTGCCCCCTATTCACAAAACCGAGACCTCTTATCTGCGCACAATTACATAGCGAACTCTATTGAACTCGACTGCGACGCTATTTTAATATTAACTTCCAATTTACTCGTGTTCTTTTTCGCTTTCCCGCCACTTTTCCCGCCCTTGCGTCGTGGCCTTACTTTCACTTTCACTTTCGGATCCGCCATGTTCGATTTTCTCCGGGACCAAGGCCGCAGAGAATATGAAAACGCCAGTTCATTCTGTCCAATTCTCTTATACGAGGGTATCATCAAATAACATCACGGTCCGAAAGGTCTGCAGTAAATGGAGAAGTAAGAAATGAATGACGAAAACAGGAAATTTAATCTTATTCTTCTTCTATTATCATCATCATTATTATTATTATTATTATTATTATTATTATTATTATTGTCGTCGTCGTATTTTCTTATTATTTCAATTATTATTATTATTATTATTATTATTATTATTGTATTTTCTTATTTCAATTATCATTATTGTTGTTCTTGTTATTATTATTGTTACGATTATTATTATTATTATTATTATTATTAATAGTAGTAGTAGTAGTAGTAGGAAATGTAGTAGAATATTTTCATGAATGCAGTAATAATGCTTAAGTTATTTAATAATTATTTATATTATTTTATGTCACTCTTCGGATTATTATTATTATCTTCATCCCATAATTTTGTTCTTATTCAAGTTAATACGATTATTATCGTATTTTTCTTAATATTTTATATATTATTACTATCACTATTACTATTATTGCGAGTAGTTGCAGGAGGAGTAGTGATAGTAGTAGTATATTTTCATGCAACGTAAATATTAAAAAATACACTAATAATACTTTAGTTAGTACATATTTCTTATATGATTTTATTTCACTGTTCTTTTCCTCTTTCTTCTTCTTATTATTAGCATTGTATTTTTTTTATTTAAATTAATATTAGTAGTTGCAACAAGCGGAGTAGTATTATAATTCCATTAATATTAATTATTATCGAATGCAATAATAATGGTTCAGTTAGTTTATATTTAATACATACAATATATTACTCTGTTATTATTATTATTATTATTATTATTATTATTATTATTATTATTGGTGTTGTTGTTGTTGTTACTGTTGTTATTATTTCCAATGATTTCTGTTGTATACACATTTTCTTCCGGGTCCTTAACATAGAACTGAGGCCAGAAATGACTACATGACAATTTCCACTTATAATTTTGTTGGTACAAAAAACAAACAAAACAAAACCTAACCTCCGCATTTTACAGATATAAAATTCTTCATAATCTTTGAGCAGCGCATATGAGCACAATGTTTTTTGTATTTCTTTAAAGCATGGGCTACAAGGAATCCCTTCAATGGCACCTTTTCCAGTCAATCCGACGGCTGCAACTAAAACTGGAATTATTGATACCCTTGTGTGTCACATTTTTGAGATTTCCACTCAAGATCCTTGTATTTTCATAGTTCTTTGAATATCTTCAAAGATACATTACAATCTGCAGAGGCTGCCATGTCAATAAGAAAGCACATTCTGTTTGTGTGGTCTTTGATCACGATGTTAGGCAATTAATTTTGATTGTTCTGTTTGTGTGTATTGTAAAGTTCGATAAAATTATTACAGGTCCTATCTCTGGAACTGGGTCTGTTCATACCAGTCGTTTTCAGTCTCCTTCCCGTAAAAGTTACAGATTTTTCAGTGCAGGTATTGGCCCATTTTATCACGAAGAGTTTTATATTCAGTGAGTGCTAACATCGCGCAACCTGATACAAGATGGCCAACTGTTTCTGGATATTGATCACAGAATCTGGA